TTGTATCCTGAGAACTTGCTGAAGTTGCTTATCAGCTTAAGGAGATTTTGGGCTGAGATGATGGGATTTTCTAAATATACAATCATGTCATCTGCAAACAGAGACAATTTGACTTCCTCTCGTCCTATTTGAATACTCTTTATTTCCTTCTCTTGCCTGACTGCTCAGGCCAGAACTTCCAATACCATCTTGAGTAAGAGTGGTGAGAGAGGGTATCCTTGTCTTGTGCCGGTTTTCAAAGGGAATGCTTCCAGCTTTTGCCCATTCAGTGTGATGTTGGTTATGGGTTTGTCATAAATAGCTCTTATTATTTTGAGATATGTTCCATCAATACCTAGTTTATTGCGAGTTTTTAGCATCAAGGGATGTTGAATTTTATTGAAGGTCTTTTCTGCATCTATTGAGATAGCCATGTGGTTTTTGTCATTGGTTCTGTTTATGTAATGGATTATGTGTATTGATTTGCATATGTTGCAATGACCAGTCTTGCATACCAGCGATAAAGCTGACTTGTTCTCACCGGTTTCAAAGAACATCTTTGTTCCTGTCTTCATTTCATTATTTACCCAGTAGTCATTCAGAAGCAGGCTGTTCAATTTCCATGTAGTTGTACAGTGAGTTTTTAGTGAGTTTCTTAATCCTGAGTTCTAATTTGATTGCACTGTGGTCTGAAAGACTATTATTTCCATTCTTTTGCATTTGCTGAGGAAAGTTTTACTTCCAATTATGTGATAAATTTTAGAATATGTGTTGTGTGGCACTGAGAAGAATGTATGTTCTGTTGATTTGGGGTGGAGAGTTCTGCAGATATCTATTACGTCCACTTGGTCCAGCGCTGAGTTCAAGTCCTGAATATCCTTGTTAATTTTCTGACTCGTTGATCTGTCTATTATTGACAGTAGGGTGTTAAAGTCTCCTACTATTATTGTGTGGGAGTCTACATCTCTTTGCAGGTCTCCAAGAACTTGTTTTATGAATCTGGGTGCTCTTGTATTAGGTGCATATATATTTAGGATAGTTAGCTCTTCTTGTTGCATTTATCCCTTTACCATTATGTAATGTCCTTCTTTGTCTTTTTTGATCTGTGTTGGCATAAAGTCTGTTTTATCAGAGACTAGGATTGTGACCCGTGCTCTTTTTTGCTTTCTATTTGCTTGGTAAATATTCCCCCATCCCTTTGTTTTGAGCCTATGTATGTCTTTGCACATGAGATGGATCTCCCGAATATAGCATACTGATGGGTCTTGACTCTTTATCCAGTTTGCCAGTCTGTGTCTTTTAATTGGGTCATTTAGCCCATTTACATTTAAGGTTAATATTGTTATGTGTGAATTTGATCCTGTCATCATGATGCCAGTTGGTTATTTTGCCCATTAGTTGATGCAGTTTCTTTATCATGTCATTGGTCTTTATATTTTGGTTTGTTTTTGCAGTGGCTGGTACCAGTTTTTTCTTTCCATTTTTAGTGCTTCCTTAAGGAGCTCTTGTAAGGCAGGCCCAGTGGTGACAAAACCCCTCAGCATTTGCTTGTCTGTAAAGGATTTTATTTCTCCTCCACTTATGAAGCTTAGTTTGGCTGGATATGAAATTTGGGTTGAAAATTCTTTTCTTTAATAATGTTGGATATTGGCCCCCACTCTCTTCTGGCTTGTAGGATTTCTGCAGAGAAATCTACTGTTAGTCTAATGGGCTTCCCTTTGTGGGTAACCTGACCTTTCTCTCTGGCTGCCCTTAACATTTTTTCCTTCATTTCAACCCTGGTGAGTCTGACAACAATGTGTTTTGGGTTGCTCTTCTTGAGGGGTATCTTAGTGGTTTTCTCTTGTATTTCCTGAATTTGCATGTTGGCCTGTCTTGCTAGGTTAGGGAAGTTCTCCTGGATAATATCCAGAAGTGTGTTTTCCACCTTGGTTCCATTCTCTTTGTCACTTTCAGGTACACCAATCAATCGTATGTTTGCGCTTTTCATGTAGTTCCATATTTCTTGGAGGCTTTGTTCATTCATTTTCATTCTTTTTTCTCTAATCTTTTCTTCATGCCTTATTTCAGTAAGTTGATCTTCAATCTTTGATATCCTTTCTTCCACTTGATCGATTCCACTATCAATACTTGATGTATACTTGACGAAGTTCTCGTGCTTTGTTTTTCAGCTCCATCAGGCCATTTATGTTCCTCTCTAAAATGATTATTCTAGTTAGCAGTTCCTGTAACCTTTTATCAAGTTTCTTAGCTTCTGTGCACTGGGTTAGAACATGCTTCTTTAGCTCAGATGAGTTTGTTATTACCCACCTTCTGAAGTTGTCATCAATGTCATCTTCTGTCCAGTTGTGTGCCTTTGTTGGAAAGAAGTTGCTATCATTTGGAGGAGAAGAAGAATTATGATTTTTGGAATTTTCAGTGTTTTTGCACTGGTTTTTCCTCATCTTCGTGGATTTATCTACCTTTGATCTTTGAGGCTGATGACCTTTGGATGGGGTTTTTGTGTGGGAGTCCTTTATGTTGACGTTGATGTTGTTGCTTTCTGTTTGTTAGTTTTTCTTCTAACAGGCCCTTCTTCTGTAGGTCTGCTACAGTTTGCTGGCGGTCCACTCCAGATCCTATTTGCCTGGGTATCACCAGTGGAGGCTGCAGAGCAGCCTCCACTGGTGCTCTGCCTATTCCTTCCTCTGGAAGGAACTGCCTATTCCTTCCTCTGGAAGCTTCGTCGCAGAGGGGCACTGGCCAGATGCCAACCAGAGCTCTCCTGTATGAGGTGTCTGTCAACCCCTGTTGGCAGGACTTTCCCAGTCAGGAGGCACGGGGGTCAGGGACCCACTTGAGGAGGCAGTCTGTCCCTTAGCAGAGCTGGTGAGCTGTGCTGGGAGAATCCCTCTTGTAGGAATCAGCTGCTCTCTTCAGAGCCAGCAGGCAGGAAGGATTAAATCCACTGAAACTGTGCCCATAGCTGCCCCTTCCCCCAGGTGCTCTGTCCCATGGAGATGGGGGTTATGTCTGTAAGCCCCTGGCTCGGATGTTACCTTTCCTTCAGAGATTCCCTGCCCGGTGAGGAGGAATCTAGAGAAGCAGTCTGGCCACAGCCACTTTGCCGTGCCCAGCCCAGACCTCCCAGCCTCCTTAGCACTGTCAGGGGAAAACTGCCTACTAAAGCCTCAGTAATGGCGGATGACGCTCCCCCCACCAAGCTCGACTGTCCCAGGTCAACTTCAGACTGCTGTGCTGGCAGTGAGAATTTCAAGTCCATGGTTCTTAGCTTGCTGGGCTCCATGGGAGTGGGACCCACTGAGCAAGACCACTTGGCTCCCTGGCTTCAGCCCCTTTTCCAGGGGACTGAACAGTTCTGTCTCACTGGGGTTCCAGGCGCCACTGGGGTATGAAAAAATCCTCCTGCAGCTAGCTCAGTGTCTGCCCAAACAGCCACCCAGTTTTGTGCTTGAAACCCAGGGCCCTGGTGGTGTAGGCATACGAGGGAATCTCCTGATCTGCAGACTGCAAAAACTATGGGAAAAGTGTAGTAACCCAGCCAGGTAGCACAGTGTCTCATGGCTTCCTTTGGCCCGGGGAAGGAGGTCCTCGGCTCCTTGCACTTCCCAGGTGAAGCAATGCCTCACCCTGCTTCTGTTCGCCCTCTGTGCGTTGGACCCATTGCCTAACCAGTTCCAATGAGACGAACTGGGTACCTCAGTTGGAAATGCAGAAATTACCCACCTTCTGCATTGGTCTGTCTGGGAGCCAGCTGCAGACCAGAGCTGCTCCTATTCGGCCATCTGGGTCCCTCTCACAAAGTGATTTTTAAGAACATAAAATATTTCAAAATAAATATGATTCTATCTTATAATTTTAGTTTGTAATTAGAATTTTGCAAAGTTTCTAAAAAGTTTCACTACTAAATTTAGGGCACCTTTCAGCTGTCTTGTCTTTTTGTCAAAGAACAGTTATAGAATTGTGTTATCTTAACTGACCTATCATTTTGAAAGCCTCACTGAAAATTAGAATAAGATATTTAAAGTACATACTTTCATCCAAGTTTTGCATTATGCATGATGCTGGGATGAGTGGTTTACAAAATATATTTAAAATATTCCTATCCTATGGATCTTATAACTAGCACTAATAAAACTGAGGTGACTCAGTGATTTGCCCTTTTATTGTCAAATAAATACACCGGATGAAAAAGAAAATAGAATATTTACACCAAGTACATTCACTAATATAAACATGTTTGTGGTGAAGAGTTAGGATTTACATATTCATACGGGGTTAAGATAGAAACAGAATTGGGAAGATAAGAGATTTCACTTTCATATTTGGTAGTTCAGACATCCTTCTTAAAGAGTTCAATCTACTTTGATAGCAGGGGAAATTTTTGTTTCTGAGGATATTTCGGTGCTCTGAGGTAGAAAAGGAATATGTACAGGATCTCAGACAACTGGAATTCCCGTGACCTCCCAGCTGCTGAGGGAAGAATCTCCAGGCCCTCCCAGGGACCCTCAGCCTGGAGCTCCCGACAGCCACTTCTGGGTTGGGTGGAAAGGCTTCAGGACCAGCAGGGAAGGGAAGGCCATGATGGAGTTTTGTATCCATGCATGTGGGTTATTTCTTTCCTGAAACCTGGAGACGGGAGGCTACCTAAGTCAGACAATGTGAGTATTAAAAAACTTCCTGTAGCAATAAGAGCATCAAGAACATAAGATGCATTTTAGGATAAGAGAAAAAAAAAATCATTCAAGGACTCGGAACTTAAGGGTTTTTCCACGTTTTTGAAGGTTGTAAAAAAAAAACTGGACATGAGATGTTCAGTAATTGCTTTGGGAATTCTTTTCTTGGAAATACCATGCTCATTGTTAGCCATGCAAAACAGACTTTCTTGGTTCTTGACTATACTTCAAATTTTAAAAAGTTATCTCATTTTGTTTTAATTATTTTAAACGCTAGTATTTATTATTCCTTAATCAATATATCAATCCATCAAGTCATCAGAACATTTAAGAATTCAATCTTACTTTTATCTGGACAAGTTTAATTTCATCAAATCTTATATCAGCAAGAGATTTCCTTTTCTGGCCTCTTCGGTGTCCAAATTTACACTTATTTCTAATCACTTGCTCATCATCTTCTATGGGTCTTCGAACATATTTAAAGCGATCTTTGAGGGCTCGTTTCCATAAAAACTGTAAAATAACACAACAGGCTAGTTAATCTTCAAGGAGATTGAGATAATCCTATATAAACAATACACCTATACAACAACAACACATACCTATCATCTTTGGGCTTGAAATTATTTTCACATCATAGTAATAGAAATAATATTTATCTATCCTTCCTTTTACCCTCACAGCAATCTTGTGACACTGCTACAGAAATTATAAGCCCTAAGTTATAGGTAAGAAGACAAAGTCACAGAAATAGAAATCTTTCCCCAGTGTCATATGGTTATTGAGTAAATATATCGGTTCTTGAACTAGATTTTCTAATTCCCAAAAGTGATACTTTCCGCTAGACTCTGCTGTCTCCACAACCAACTCCATTTTTCTAGTGGGTTCTAGAAAAGACCTGATAGTGGCTTATGGATTGATGCATTTTCTTTAAAAATAATTTTCTGTCACCTTTTGAAATTTGTTTTGGTGAGTACTATTGGCATGCACTCCCTAAGTATCTGCGGCGCCTCTACTGTTTCAAACACAAAGACCAAGTCCCCACTCTGGGAGGCAGAAGGGTGTAGGTGGACCTCACTTTCAGTGTAGCAGAGGGATGAGTGATTTTAATATAGAGTGAAAACTATTATAATAGGGGAAGATACATCATTCATTTACATTGTGTTAGGAGATCATAAAAGCCTTCCTGTAGGAAGTTCTTGAATCTAAACTGAGGCTTAGGTCTTAGGGTCAGGTAACTGCATGAAGGGATGGGGATAGCATCAGGGAATACCGGTTGGGTGGATGCACAGAAGTTCCAGGAGGATGAAGCTGCATGTGCAATGGAATGGAGGGAGAGCTAGTGCCCTTTGGAGAACTACCAAGAGTTTTGAGAGACTGGAGCACAGAGCTCGAGATGAGGGAATGATAGAGGATGGGGTAAAAAGTAAGGTGGGAGAGAGGAGCCAGCCCAATCATCAAGGGCCATGGTCACCCCATTAAGGAGCCTCAGTGTAATCCTGAACCAGATCTTAAATCTGTCTCTGTAGACAGGCTATATTAGAACCTCATAGCAACTTTTGCCCTTGGTCTTTCCTCTAAAGCAATGGTTCTCAAAATTTAGCCTGAATCAATTCCTGGAGGACCTGTTAGAGCACAGTTTGCTGAGCCCCACTCTCAGCGTCTCTGATTTTGAGGTCAGGGGTAGGCTGAGAGTGTCCTTTTCTTCCAAGTTCCCATGCGATGCTGCTGCTTGCTACTGCTCGAGACTACACAGATGCTGGTTCGGGAGATTGGAATGGAGCCCAGATGTCTGTATTTTTTAAAGCTCTATAGAGAATTCATCAGAACAGCCAGGATAGGAAGTATTCCTAGGCCATGTTGAGTTGGGAGAGTGAATGGTCAGATTTGAGCTCTGGAAGGATCTATCTGGCATGTGGAGTTTTTGTGAGACCAGAGACATGGACAACACCTAGGAAGCACCCCTGGACTTCTTCCTCAATATGCCAACATCTCTTCCACTGCTGGGCCTTCAGTTTGGGCCTGGAAAGCTTTATCCCTCTCTTCCCACACCTAGCTGGTATGTAGTTGACCCTTGCTTTGCCTTCGGGTCTCAGCTCAGCCTGTGCTTCATGGAAGCCTCCTCTGGCCTCTGTAACAGCTTGGCATTGGAGCTCCCCTTTCTTCACTGGCACTTACCACAGTGGTAATCTACCCTCATCTATGTGACACTTTGTCTGTTTTTATTTCTACTTCTTTTTTTTTTTTCTTTTATTTTCCTTTGCCTGCCTTCCTTCCTTTCTTCCTTCCTTCCTTCCTTCCCTCTCTCCCTCCCTCCCTCCCTCCCTCTAGGCTATAAGCACACAAAGAAAGGCTCATGCCTGCTTTGCCCACCAAGTCCAGCATAGTGCTTCATGCATGCTGGAAACTATAAATGTTTGATACCTTGTGTCAATACTCTATGAAGCAGGAGATGCAGATGTCAACAGGACAGACCAGAAGCAAGACTCTGAGTCTTGGCAGTGCTTAGCTGGTAACTAACTCACTGCATGAGTGGTGGCCCAACGCTGCTTCTTCTTTTATTTATTTATTTATTTTTGAGACAGAGTTTCACTCTTGTTGCTCAGGCTGGAGTGCAATGGCACAATCTCGGCTCACTGTAACCTCCACTTCCTGGGCTCTAGCGATTCTCTTGCCTCAGCCTCCTGAGTAGCTGGGATTACAGACAGGCGCCACCACGCTCAGCTAATTTTTTGTATTTTTAGTAGAGACGAGGTTTCTCCGTGTTGGTCAGGCTGGTCTCAAACTCCCGACCTCAGGTGACCCACCCTTCTCGGCCTCCCAAAGTGCTGGGATTACAAGCATGAGCTGCCGCACCCGGCTGACTCAACCCTTCTTGAAGTCAGTGACTTAGGACTGCTTCTGCTGCTCATCTCCCCTGCAATGTCATGTGCTTGAATAGATCCCCACAGTGAGTTCAGGCAAGGAAAAAAAAAAAAAAACCCTTGCAGGCATATAGGCCTGTGTTTCCCTCTGAGCCCTGGCCATGAGAGAGAGTGGTATGTCACTGAGTGGCTTTGGGCATGTTTTCTAAGCTCTATTTCTTCACAGGTCAAATGGGATGCCACCAAAATAACATTAGCCAAATGTTTGGCACTTAGATTTTGCTATTCCTGGTTATATGGTTTGTAAGTCCCAATAAGAGTAATCCCTGAATGCACCATAGCCTAAGTTGGGAAGACTGCAGGTCCAAGTAGCTAGCCTGAATACATATTAGCCAAGTAACCCCTCTTAATTTCAGTTTCTTCAACTATAAAACAGAAAAATAAGATATGTCCTATTAAGTGCACTGGCTTTTTGGGAGACTCAAGTGAGTAGTTACTCATTGAAGATATCTGTAAACTCAAGTGCTGTTTGTAAAGTCCTTCAACAGCCCTAGTAAGAAAGGCAGTGGTTGAGGGCTGGAGTACGGCTGCAGCACTGATTAAGCTCCCGGGTATGCATGAGTCAGAGATGCCTTATCACCTCCCACAGGCGTGCTTGCGAGCTTGGACTTTACCATTGCTGTTTTACAACAGAACAGACAAAAAGAACGGCTTGTATTTTTCTTAGCCATGAAATATGAACTAGTGCAAGTACAGTACATTTTTTTTCCCACGTGTTTCCTACAGCTCTGAAGGGTTTCTAAACATGCTGAACCTGGTGGGAGGTATTACAGCAATCAACGACTAGGACATTTTTAAATTGCCAATTTCTTCTTTCTAGGCTCTCCTGTCTCTCTTTATTAACTGTCTGATAGGAACAGAAAAAGGACAAATCAAATACAATCTTCCACATGAGTATTCAATCAATGAGTATTTACTGAGCATCTGCTATACGCCTGACACCATGAGTTACTTACACAGATGCCTCAGGTAGGCAGACTCAGTAGGAAATATTTGTGTTACAGAATAATCATCCCTCTCCTCCACGTTTCCAGCTAGAGAGGGTGTAGAAAGTTCTACATGAAGACAGCTCTCTGTCAACCACTCTGAAATAAAAAATGACCCTGAAATTGCAGACCTCCTGTTGTGACATATGAAGCAGTCCACAGCATCACCAGCAGACCTTTACACATTCAAATGCAGAATGTGGACCACCTTACATGGCAACTGGACTAGACTTGTCTAAAAAGCAAATATGCGGAAAAATAAAAAAGGGTTTGGAGAGACTGTCTAGGCAAAAAGAAATTAAAGAGACATAATAACCAATGCAATGCATAATACTCAATTAGATATCATGGCAAAAAATTGTTTTTAAAACATTTTTGAAAAATTGGAGAAATGTGAATATGGATTGTATATATTATGCAATTATTGCTAATTTTCTTGGGTATAAAAATGGTATTGTGGTTATATAAGAGATTGTCCTTATTCTTTTTTTTTTTTTGGAGATGAAGTCTCGCTCTTGTGCCCCAGGCTAGAGTGCAATGGCGCAATCTCGGCTCACTGTAATCTCTGCCTCCTGGGTTGAAGTGATTCTCTTGCCTCAGCGTCCTGTGTAGCTGGGAATACAGGCACTTGCCACCATGCCCAGCTAATTTTTGTGTTTTTAGTAGAGATGGGGTTTCACCATGTTGGCCAGGCTGGTCTCGAACTCCTGACCTCAGGTGATCTGCCCGCCTTGGCCTCCCAAAGTGTTGGGATTATAGGTGTAAGCCACCACACCAGGCCCAAAATTTTTCAAAATAAAGAGTTAAAAATAAACTTAGCCCTAAAAATAACCAAGTTTGTGCATTCTTTTTCTTTCTCCACCCCTGCCTCCCATTAATGTTCTCTGAAATTTTGTACATTTTCCACTGTAACATTAGAAACACAACCTCATACACTTTTGCAGGGAGAATTTGGGTAAACATCCATCCAGGCACCAGATGCAAATCTGAGCCCTAATCTGCTAAGCAATTTTGCACACGTCTCTTTATCAGTTAACTGGTCTTTAGTGAATGTCACTGGGAACAGATGTGGATAAAATGCGCACAAGAGCAAAGAAAGCAGTATTTGTTACTTTGTATGTGTCTCACTTTGATAACCATGAAACTAAAGGTCAAACGGTATTAGATCAATATGGATTTGCTTATGTATATGCAAAGATTCTCTAGAAGGACTCTAATAACATTGGTTACTTCTGGGGAGGAAAATTAGGCGGCTGGAGAAGCAAGGGCAGGTGGGAAACTTTTCTCTTTATACCCTTTTGTAGTTTTTGAATTTTGAACTATATAAATATGTAATTTATTCAAACAATAAATGTAAATTTAAAAACACACACACAAGCTGTATCCTGGCTAACACGGTGAAACTCCGTCTCTACTAAAAAATACGAAAAATTAGCCGGGCGTGGTGGCAGGCACCTGTAGTCCCAGCTACTCGGGAGGTTGAGGCAGGAGAATGTCACGAACCCAGGAGGCAGAGCTTGCAGTGAGCTGAGATAGCGCCACTGCATTCCAGCCTGGGCGACAGAGCGAAACCCCATCTCAAAAAAAAAAAAACAAAAAAAACCCCACAAGTTGTATACACAGTAACACTGATTAGATATTAAGTCGGTAGATATATCTCGAGTGTGGAAGAAATTCTGAGACTCAGTTTTGTCAGCCATATTGACATGATTGTCAATGTTGGGGCTCCAGGTTTGTTTAGTATTGTTGTTGTCGTTGCCTTGTTGTTTTTGTTTCGTTTTGTTTTGTTTTTTAGAGAAAATTCAATTTCTTCTGTAGTATGCTTTATATGCAGCGGCATATTTTGGAAAGGATGTCATCCTAGAAGCAAGAATACCTGAATTCTAATCTTGGCTTCAATAATGACTATTTTTCCAGACATGGTATACAACATCTTTCCTCAGTCTGAGTGGTGAAAAAAAGCTTTAATGGCCTCTCCCATTGAGAAAATTCTGTGATTCTCTCCATATATAATGAACCTTTTCTTTAAAATACAAAAAGAGAAGGAAGGAAGGAAAGAAAGAAGGAAGGGAGGGAGGGAGGGGTGAATACAAATAAGGAAGGAAGGAAAGAAGGAAGGAAGGAAGAAAGAGGGAGGGAGGGAGGGAAGGACCTTAAAGTGTCCTTATATGCATAGATATTGGCATTTATCCTTTGTTGTTCTTGGAATTAATTGCTGAAATTCCATGTCCTTAAGAAAGCACAGCAAAAAAATATCTTTTCACAAACATCTGAGACAGTAAAGTACAAAAAGACATCTGTCTTCTTTAGATATGACTACCAATGTGTATGCACATGACATATAGATACAGGAAATAACAGACAGTCTACCTTTACATAGCTACCTATACATAGCTATAGCTCTTTGTAATTGTTCCTTAACTCATATAGTTACAGCGTCAAAAATCAACTTTTTATTAACTATTCTTAGGTACAGTTCAATAGTGTTAATTATATTTACATTGTTGTGCAATGAAGACACTGGTCTTTGAAATCCAGGAGATAGGCAAGTTCAAACAGCAAAGTTTGTGTTGAAATGTCAGTGGCAGTCGTTCTCAGCCCTGGTTGTACATTAGAATAATTTTGGGAAATTTAAAAAATGTTAATGACAGTGTCCCATCCTCAAATTAATTCAACCTGAATCTCTAGGAATCCTAATGTGCAACCAGAGGTTAGAACTCCTGCCCCAGAGAATTGCTTGAACCCGGGAGGCAGAGGTTGCAGTGAGCTGAGATCGTGCCACTGTACTCCAGCCTGGGTGACAGAGCGAGACTCTGTCTCAAAAAACAAAACAAAACTAAACTAAAAAACAAAGAACTGCTGCCCCAAAGTATCCTAGGGGTCTGTTTTCATAAGGGCAGCAGAGATGTGACAGGGCCAGGTAAGGTTGGAGGCCCGGACCTCAAAGCCAGACAACAGCTCCACTGGGTCTGAGAAGGCAAGAAACACCTGATGACAGCTCTGAAGCAGGTGCAGCCATGTCTTTCTCTTTCTAGGTGTCACATCTCCTAAAGACCCTTCCTAACCCTTAAAACCCTTAAGATTCTAAAGTGAACAGCTCGGTTAATTTTAGCAACTTTATATGCTTGTGCAACCATAATCACTGTCCATTTTGGCCACCCTCAGCCCTAGGCAACTCTTCATCAGCTCTGTTACACTGAGCTTCAAGTTTTGAGAGGGCAGCAATATGATGATGGAGAGAGACAAAGAAGACAAAGAAACACAGGACAGAGAGAGACCAAGAAGTTATGAAAAAGGGAAGACAAGGAGACAGACAAAGAGAGAGAGAGAGCACGCGTGAAGTCAAGAAAGAAGCATGGACTAACAAAAAGTGAAAGACAGAAACAAAGTCGGAGAGAGACCAAAGAGACAAAAAAAGAGTCAGAAAAATAGAAACAGATAGACGTAGATACATAGAATGGGAGAGAGAGAGAGAGAGACATCAAGAAAAGATGGATGAAGCATAAAATTACTGGGCAACACAAGGCTATTATTTTAAGATAGTCTGAAATTAACAGAATGGTCCCAGGTGGTCACTTACAAAGCCACAGCCGTCCTCATCCAGGAAAGGGTGGGCCTGCAGCAGGGCATTAACTACGTCATTGTACTGCTGGGTGCTGGGGTACCTGTTCACCAAAACAAGAAGGATATGTTTCACTTCAAGCAGCCCACATTCCCTCCTTTAAGATGAGTCTAAATTACACTCATGTTTCTTCACATTTGTCTACATAACAAAAAGAGATTCAAATATTGGGCAATTTGGGACCTATTACCAATATGTCATCCACAATCTGAAGAGAGTTGATTCCACGTGAATTCTACTCTATTCCGAAACAGACCCTTTCCCAAAGCAGCAAGCCTGTCCTGTTGTCACTCACAGTGAGCCTTCCAGATACTTAGTCATGTCGGCCTGAAGAAACTCAATGATCCTTATCCTCATGCTGTGATCCGGGCACTTCTGCTCCGCTAACATGCATTTGACATCATAGGGAAACTCTGGTAAAACATAGGACTTCGTCCATTGTAATGCTTTGCTTCTAGCTAGAATATGTTTCACATTTCTTCTGTGAAATAAAAACACACAAAGAATGAAATTCTATTCCAAATATATGCAATTTATTAATTTGCTACATCCTGAGAACTTACGAAATAAACAACTTTCCCGAGACCCAAATATATGGAAGTCATCAAGCTATCTTCCATCCATTCATCCATCCACAAATGTTTGAAGGCTCATTAAGTGTCTTTGTCCATTCACACAACACATATTTATTCTTTAGAAAAAGTCATAATAATATAGACTTTAGAATAAAGCCTGAAGCTGAAATGCATACAAATTCTTTTTTCTTAAAGAGAAAATGTAATGCATAGCTCAAAACTAGACAATATACTTGACAAAAAGAAAATATGTTGCAATTCAGCAAAGCAAATGAGGCCTGCTATAAAGTCTTAGCACCTGTTAAGAAAATTCTTTTAATTAATTTATTCTGCTGCTGTTTATAACGAAATACAAGATCCACCTAATTTAGCTGGTCTTTGCCTATTTTGATAAGGTGAACTTAGTTTCTAAATTAAATATAAATAACAGATATTCCAGCTCCATCCAGATGAAATTTCTATGAAGGGCTACAGAAAACTATAACTACAGCCGGGCGTGGTGGCTCACGCCTGTAATCCCAGCATTTTGGGAGGCCAGGGCGGGCAGATCACGAGGTCAGTAGATTGAGACCATCCTGGCTAACATGGTGAAACCCCCTCTCTACTAAAAAAAAAAAAATCAGCCGGGTGTGGTGGCGCGCCTGTAGTCCCAGCTACTCGGGAGGCTGAGACAGGAGAATCGCTTGAACCCGGGAGGTGGAGGTTGCAGTGAGCCGAGATCGCGCCACTGCCCTCCAGCTTGGGCGACAGAGCGAGACTCGGTCTCAAAAAAAAAAAAAAGAAAAGAAAGAAAGAAAGAAAAAAACTAGAACTACAGAAGGCAGATCAGGAGTTGCCTGGGGCTGAAGGTGGGTAAAATGGGTAGTGATTATTTGTTGTACAAGCATATAAAGCTGCTAAAATTAACTGAGCTTTATTTTTTAACTATAATTTTTTTTGAGACAGTCTCACTCTGTTGCCAGGCTGGAGTACTGTGGCACAATCTCGGCTCACTGCAGCCTCTGCCTCCCGGGTTCAAGCGATTTCCCTGCCTCAGCCTCCCGAGTAGCTGGGACTACAGGCCTGTGCCACCACACTGGCTAATTTTTTGTATTTTAGTAGAGATGGGGTTTCACCATGTTGGCCAGGATGGTCTCAATCTCCTGATCTCGTGATCTGCCCACCTTGGCCTCCCAAAGTGCTGGGATTACACGCGTAAGCCACTGCGTCCAGCCAATTTTTTTTTTTTTTAGACAGAGTCTTGCTCTGCCATCCAGGCTGGTGTGCAGGGGTGCAATCACAGCTCACTGCAGCCTTGACCTCTTAGTCTCGAGCAATCTTCCCACTTCAGCCTCCCGAATAGCTGGGACTACAGGCACGTGCCACCATGCCCAGCTAATTTTTTTTATTTTTTGTGGAGGTGGGGTCTCATTATGTTGCCCAGTTTCATCTCGAACTCTAGGCTCAAGCAATCCTGTTGCCGTAGCTTCCCAAAGTGGCGGGATTACAGGCATGAGCCAACACAGCCAGCCTCTTGTTCACTTTAAATGGGTGAACTTTATGCTATGTAAATGAAACATCAATAACACTGTTTATAAAATTATCAGAACAACATTCAAGCCTTAAAGTTAGTGACTGACCACTGAGTGTGCAAAATGAAGACTCTATAATATTAATAAAGTATCCAACTAACATTGAATCAAAGGCACTACGTAGCTCTTAACCCATTTATAAATAGGATTGATTGTGGTGGAAGTAAAGAAACAGAGGCAAGCCAAGTAGAAGACAACAGGAAGATTTCCTAAGTTGGCCTAAGTAGGTTAATTTTCAGATATCCATGGAGCCCAAAATTCAGATGAATTTTGAAAGGCTAGGGTTCTTTTAGCATTTTAGGTCATCCTTTATAAGAATGCACGAGCTATAATGCGATATGGAGAATCAAGCACACAGGAGAAAGCACTCTGACATCCCTTTTTATGACAAGCTCCCTTTCCTTTTTCCCCCCTTTGGCGGTCCCCACTCTATCAGTGGTGAAATTATGTCCTGGCTAAGATAAGCACACCAATAACTTAATACTTAATACCACAACAGGAAATTTCCAGATTTAAGTCTCTGCTGTAGCCCAATCTGTTTTCCAGTATGTTTCTCTTTCATTTTGTTCATTCATTCAACCAGCATTTATTGGGGGTCTACTAAATGCCAATTACTCTTTCACAATCCTCATTTTCTTCCATATTCTATTACTTTGTTTCTTTCTCCCATGGCCAAATTACCCCTCCTGTATCTACTGAGACCAAGGAATATAAAGTAATGGCCAGTTTTGTTGGATGTCTTTTGTGCATTCCTGGGATTTTTTTTTTTTTTTTTTTTTTTTTGAGACTGAGTCTTGCTCTGTCGCCCAGGCTGGAGTGCAGTGGTGCGATCTCAGCTCACTGCAAGCTCCGCCTCCCGGGTTCAAGCGATTCTCCTGCCTCAGCCTCCTGAGTAGCTGGGACTACAGGCGCCCACCACCATGCCCGGCTAATTTTTTGTATTTTTAGTAGAGACAGGGTTTCACCGTGTTGGCCAGGATGGTCTCAGTCTCCTGACCTCGTGATCCGCCCACCTTGGCCTCCCAAAGCGCTGGGATTACAGGTGTGAGCCCCCGTGCCCAGCCCTTCCTAGCATTTTTTTAAAAGTGATGTAACTTGGCAGGTGTTAAGCTGGTTTCAGTAATCTTAACATCTATCTCTTTTTTCCTAATAATTTTCAAGTAGCTAAATTAGCTGCCTGCCAGGTCCAGGTTTTGAAGTTGTTATGTTACTTAGTACCACCTCAACAGATAAGTTCAATGTTCCAGTGTTATAAAATAAAGCTCGTTACGCTGTTTGTCTTTTTATTCTACATACTTCCCCCCCTTTTTTTTTCAGTGTCGGGGCAGAGACTATACTGCATGGTATTATTTCTCTCAAACATCCAGAATGTAGCTAGACGCATAAAGGATCCAAGAAGACAGATACTCCATCTTGCTCTCAATAGAGTAATGTATTAGGAAAGATCAGAAGCATCAAATTTTCATTTTCTTTACATTAAAACAATGTAAGAAGATACTCTGGAATTGACTAAAAACCAACCCATGCCACCTAATGCCAGTCAAAATGAGTATTACACACGAAAAGTGATTCATCAGAAATTAAAAATACATTCTAATTTGCAAGTAGATAACTGCAGGCAAAATCATTTCTCATCTGTAAAATTATATTTGCACTGGATTAAAAAAAAGCTTTACTGTGGGGTTAAGATTATTCATAATATTTTTATTAAGCTGGAGTTGGGCAGAACACCAAAATAAGTCAGCCAAAAGTAAGGGCAGAGAGCAGACGGCAGTTCAACCCAAAGGCCGGTTATATTACTGTTCCCACCTCAGAACCAGGCTCTTTGACAAAATCAGCACCACAAAACAACAGATATCTAGCCCGAAGTATCTCAATCCTGGGTGCACGGCAAAATCAACCAGGAAGCTTTTAAAACATGTTAATGCCTATAATTGGCCCCTGGCTAACTGATTCAGAGTTCACTGCTTACTAAAGTCTCAGCTTATATGTAGAGCTTATATTTGTAATAAAATAAAACTTACAGTAAAGTTAAGACAACACATTTGATAATTGGCCATATCATTATTGTATTAGGTGCTAATTTAAAAAATGATTAGATGGTGTTTTCATGAAAAAGCTAATTGACTCTCCAACATTTTCTAACTTTAGTAAGAGTGAAAAAATATCCAATTCTTACCCTACTTCCAAAGAGCATATGGTATACTCTGATGAGGCTCACACAGGGTAGGAAAGATGGCTCTGTAAAGAACGGGCTCAGGTGAGCACCAGCTCTCTAAAGAAAAATCTGAATGCACAAAACAGCAGTTGGTAGAGAGCAGAAGAAACACAGATGTTATATGAGGGCGGGGACTATTTGTTTAATCTCCAGTGTATATAACATTGTTTAGCAGAGTTGATAATACAGTGATTTTTTGTTGAAAGAATAAACCAGACACCTGAAAGAAGTAGCTATCTAAGCAGGGCTGAATTTGATTTGGTCTGGGCAAAGATATGGACACTTCACTGGTCCGTGATTGCATTCATTACCCTGTAGATTTGGCTACCCATTTATGCTCTAGGCTTGTCTTTCAAATCACTTTCATTCTGCTTTTCCTTAACCTCTCTTACCTGACTCTCTTCCCAATCACCTCACCTGGACTGCTTCCTCAAAAGTCAATAATGATTTCCTAATTGACCAATGCAGGGCCTTTTGACCACAGCCTTTTATAAGACCTTTGTAACTGCATTTAGTGCTATTGACCACTTCCTCAAACCCCTTTTCTTCCTTATCTTCCTTGACACTGTTTCATTTTCCTGCCTCTCTTCTGTTCTCTCTAACAACTTGTTTATTTGCTGATTTATACCTCCTTTACTTTCTGTGAGAATTTGCACATGGCTGGGTTCCTGCCCGCTTAATCCTCTGTATTGCTCTCTGCTTTCTTCCTCAGAGACTCACCCAGCCCCATGACCTCAGCTCTGAGCTCTATGTTGATGCACTGTAAATCTATCATCAATAATCTGTTCTCCATGCTCCATCTTAGATCTCCAACAACAACTTGTACATTGTTTATCTTATACTCAACAAATCCAAAAATAATTAATAATCTTTAAAAAAACAAACAAAAAAACCCCCCAAAACTAGGCTCTCATGTTCTAGGAACTGAACTGTGTTCCTTTCAAATTCTGTATGTTGAAGCCCTAACCTCCAATGTGACTGTACTTGGAGATAGACCTTTATGGAAGTAATTTAGTTAAATGAAATCATAAGGGTGGGCCCTGAGATGATGGGATTAGTATTCTTAGAAGATCTGTATGCCACGTGAGGTCAGAGAGAAAATGTAGCCATCTGCAAG